GCAGAAAGAGGGGATGACAATGGCTGGATAAACCCCCGAGCCAAATTATTTTACAAGAAATCATGAATGGCAGCCAATTCGGGCTCAGACATAGAATACAGGCATCCCTTGGGTAGTGGGTCATCAGGCAGAAAGTCCACGGGAAAATCATAGAGTCGATGCGGCGGTAACCGATCCACCTCCTTCTCACTAAAGACATTGGAGAAATCAGAGAGTTCAGGAGGTACGGAGACAGTGGGGGTGGCGATGTCCTGGCCAGCAGAAGGGTAATCCATGCACTGGAGTCTCGGGAACAAAATGGCGTTCTGTGTCCAAGCCACCAGAGGATCGTGTAACCATAGCCAGGCCATACCAAGGACCAAGGGGAGATGGAGGTCCGCAGTGATGTAAAAACTAATTGCCTCCTCATGGTTCCCAATAACCAGGCACAATGGCTGGGTAGCGAAACGAATGGGCCCAGCACGAAGCTCCCGCCCATCAATCATTTCCACCTTGACTGGAGGCTCCACTGCAACCAAAGGGATGTCAAAATGAGTTGCAAAGGCCTGGTCCATAAAACTAGTCATAGCCCCCGAGTCCACCAACGCAACTGCAGGAATCCCCTCTGACCGGGACGACAAGAAGACCTGAGTGTCAAGAAGTAAATGGCGAGAGGGTCTGGAATCTATCTCCGCTACTTCGGGTGGGTGGTTGATATGTGTCTGGCTTAGAGTTTCCCTGAGACCAGACCGACCTTGTTTCCCCAACTGATCAAGTCTAGATTCGGGCACAGGCTTGCACGCCCCCTGTCATTGAACAGGACAAGAATTTGCAAAATGTCCAGGCCCCCACAATACAGGCATAAGCTTCCCTAGAGTCTCCATGTGTGTTCTTGGGCTGTCAAACAAGGTCGGACCGCATCCAACTCCATCAGCTCCTCGGGCATGGCCACGGCACTGTGGGAGACCTGGGACATTGGTTGTACATGACGCTGTGGCCTTGGGGTGGATGGCTGCTCTGGAACTGGTCGTCTAGTCTTGCGCCATTGAAGACGAGCATCAATGCGCAAGCATTGCACCACCAGAGCATCGATGGTTGGGGCTAATTCCACGTGCACCAATTTGTCCTGTACGTCCTCCAACAGGCCATCCTGGAAAGCGTCCATCAAAGCCGCATCATTCCAGGCAGAGTCCAAACAGAGCAGCCGAAACTCAGAAATGAACTCCTGCAAGGGGCGTTTCCCCTGGCAAAGTTCCTTCAGGCATCTGGCTGCTGTCTGAGCCCGTATGGGGTCCTCATTCATCAGTCTCAGATGACGCCAAAACCCCTGATAGTCAGTTATTAATGGACTGTCCTGCACCAACACAGGAGTGGCCCACCTGGCACCCAAGCCCGGTCATCAGGAAAATCCTCTGGCCTCAGAGCCATAAACAATTGGCACTGTCCCATGAAAGCCAGGAACATTTCAGGCTGTCCAGAGAACTTATCCAGCACAGCTGCCAGGCATTTCCTACGGGGAGGGGCAGGAGGAGCAGCACAAGCCTGCAGCAGAGTGATTTGATTAATCAGCTGAGTAATTTGCTGCTGCAGAATTTGGTTATCATTTTTCAGCTGATTAATCATCAGCTGCTGCTGCTGCTGTTGTTGATCCATCTTGGTCAGAAGATGGCTTTTGTAGGGTCCGGGACAAAAATGTTATGTCTCACCTGTGCCCACGAGGTGAGAATCCAAGTTTCCAAAGGAATATAAACAAACAGACAAGACCAGTAATGACAGGGTTAAATTCCTTTGGCTGGAGAATTCCTTGGCAGTCTCCCACAAGCTGCCTACCAAGTCTGATAGTAAAGCAAGACCATAAATTACAGGCAAATGCCACACACAGAATTTGTCGAAGCTTCTATCCCAAATTAACAAATTGTCCCGGACAAGAATCCAGAGCTAACACGCCCACTTTTATTCCCTGAGGGGCGTGTCAGTCTCTCATCTCAGTCCCTGATTTGCCCTTTCCTTCTACGTTGGATCTCACGTCTATGCCTGCATCTTTGCCTCGCATCAAACCAACATTCCTCAGTTTGATCCTCAGCCAGAGGCTCCGCTACGCTCTCCTGATTATCTGCCGACACCTGAGGCACAACCAGGGAGGAAGGCAAATCCTCCAGCAAAGCAGGCTCAAACCTCAGAGCCAAATCCTCCTCTTCCTCATGGCTCAAGTCTGTGTCCTCCAGCAAAGCAGGCTCAAACCTCAAGGCCAAATCCTCCTCTTCCTCATTGCTCAAGTCTGTGTCTTCTAACAAAGCAGGCTCAAACCTCCGAGTCACAACAATGACCCGTGGCTTTCATGTGTTGGACTAGTGAGGAAGTGTGTTCCAGCTTTATTACTGCATTTTTGTGTTCATCCAGGTGGGTACTTTTTCTTCTGTTGGTCTGTCCAATATATGTGGCAGGGCATGATGCACAGGGGACTTCATATATGCCTTGGTTTTCCAGGTCAATTTTATCTTTGGGGTTTCTTAGGATGGCTGCTATTTTTCTGTCTGTTTTGAAGGCAGTCTTGATGTGATGCCTGTGTAGTATCTTACTGATTTTGTCTGTAGTACCTCTTATGTAGGGCAGGACAGCTGTTCCATGGGTCTGGTCATCTTCTAGGTCTCCATTATGTCTCAGTGTGTTTTTGTGGATCAAGCCGGTGATTTTGCTTTTGTGGAAGCCATTAGCTGTCAGTACTTTAGTCAGGGTGTATAGTTCAGTCTTTATGTGTGTCTTGTTTGCCAGGTGTTTGGTTCTAGCAATTGGTGTTTTGGCCACGGAGTTTATCTGTGCTGGGTGGTGGTGGGATTGGGCGTTGAGGTAGTGGTTGGTGTTTGTTTTCTTCTGGTATGGTGTGTCCTAGTGTACCATCTGTTTTTTTGTAGATTAGTACATCTAGGAATGGCAGTTGTTTTCTTGTTTCCGTTTCCATGGTGAACTTGATTTTGGGGTGTGTGATGTTTAGGTGTGTTAGCAAATTGTTTATGTTTTCTTTTTCATGGGGCCAAACCACAAATGTGTCCTCGATGTATCTTAACCATAGTTTGGGTTTGTGGGTGGCATTAGCTAGGGCTCTGGATTTGAATTCTTCCATGAACAGGTTTACAATGACTGGTGACAGTGGTGATCCCATAGGGGCTCCTTCAATTTGTTTGTATCTTTGTCCTTTGTATATGAAATATGTGTTGGTTAAGCAGTATCCTGATCATTCCATGAGGTGTTTAACTGTTGGTATTTATTTTTGATGATTTCAAGAGTTTCTTTTATCAGCCTGAAGATGGCGAGTGGGACCTCATGGAAACATTGCCAAGATACTCTCAATCTTACACAGGAAAAGACTCGAACATGCCAAGACCTGCATACCTGTACCCGTGAAAATCAAATATATACACACATATTTTCACGGGTACAGGTATGCAGGTCTTGGCATGCTCAAGTCTATATATATATATTGTTTCTCCAACAATACGCTCCCCCCATATGAAGACCCAGCATGTTTTCTAGGCATAAAATGAAATTAAGCCCCTCCCCCCAAATTTAGGCCTAGTTTAAAACATGCGAAATTGGGGGGGGGGAGGTGGGGGGAACTTGCCATTAGGAGTGCCCCACGGGCAGCTACACCTCACCACCACTACTCCTAACACGAAGGGTGGAGCACGAAGGGCTTCCTTATCCCTCCCTTACCCGGTTCAGCAGGTGGGTGGCATCAGCGTGGATATCCAGCAGCATTTCAGCTGCTTCTCAGGCCTCCATAGCTTCCACGGTTCCCACCGGTGCTGGCGCCTCTCTCGCTAGCGCTGTCTCCAACAACGGCATCTGAGTTGCTCCTGCTTTTCCCCCATCCCCATAACAACAACAAAACAACATTTTGAAGTACCTGGGAGCGCCGTGCGCTGCGTTTTGGTTTAATCCTGAGTGGATGGGTGGGCATGAGAAGAGCCGAGCGAGCATCTCTGCTGCTGCTACCCTTGGTGCTCCAGCCTCGGGCTCTGCAAGTTTGCAAAAGTCCCAGTACACAGCCCGTTCCTGCATTCCAAGTGCCCTGCCCGAGCTGCAGCTGTCCCTCTCTCACCAGCGCTGTCTCCAATAACAGCGGCAGCAGCGGCGGGAACCATGGAACCATTTTAGCTGCTTCTCGGGTGGGGGAATCACCTCCATAACTTCCAGTGTCATATAATAAATCTTTATACCTGACAATATTTTCATAATACAATACATTTGGATGTGTAACTGCTTCCAATGTAGATAGCCACAATGGAACCTTTGGGTAGTGGTTTTTTTTAATTTTTCCCCCAGATATTAAACAACACATTTCTTACATGGTGCCTTTGGAAATATGAATGTTGTTTAGATTTTCCATCCCACATGAAAACGTGCCAGCCAAGTTGGAGATCAAAATCTTCTAATACTAATAACCTTCTATTTTCTAATTTAACCCAATCCTTAAACCAGTTTACTATAACAGCATCATAATATAATTCAAAATTTGAAAGGTCAAATCCTCCTTTTTTCTTGGCATCCTGTAATAATTTATATTTCACTCTGGGTTTTTTCCTCTGCCATATAAATTTTGATATACATTTGTGTAATTCTATAAAAAAGTTCTTTTCAACTTGACTGGCACTGTCTGAAACAAGAACAACAATTCTGGCAAAATATTCATTTTTACTATCGAAATACGTCCCAATAACGATAACTGCAATTTGACCCAATTATCTAAATCTTTAACTATAGCTCTGAACTCGTATACTATTTCCTCTTTGCTAACCTATGGGGAATGCTATTTCAACTGCAAATCCTTTGGGAATTGACTTAATAATAGCCTTTCTGTTTTGAATCTAAAGATTTGCATTTATTTTGCTCCTTCACCATGCAGTTCACTGCTCACTAACAAAATTCACAACAAAGATTGTTGCTTTCTTCTTTTCCTCTCTTGAGATATATATATGCATAAGCACTTATGCCATTTGGAACCATAGAGAAGAGACGAGATTATGGACAAGTAAGAACCCATGATACTAATGCTAGGCAGTCCAAGATTTAGACTATACCAGGAGATTGAGACACCATTCAAGTCAGGCAATATTAACCATAGATACAGTAATGTCTGGGCCCTAGAAGAAGAAGAATCTTATCATTTGCCTTTGTACAGCGGATGGCATTTTTATTAGTTTTCCTGCTAGTACTACTTCCTCACATGGTGTGCAAAAGTGACAGGTGCAGCACCTATAATCCACACACTCCATATCACAAATACCATTATCTGGGAGACCTTATGGTTGGTGGCATTGTTTCACAGGCTGCAATTGTCTTCAAACAACTCAGATTAAATGAACCTCCCCCATCAGCAAAGTCTGGAGATTTTCTGTGAGGAATTTTACTTTTAATTACCTTTTAGAGATATCAGTCACTGAAATAGTAATATGTGACCCTGATATCTTACAACATAAGCTAATTACATCTGGTAATACTAAGAAGATACTGAGAAATTTTGTTTGGAAAATAGTCATACATTTAATCAACATTCCCAAATCTTGGGCTACTTCATATTTGTTTCTTTACCAGTTTTCTGAAGATGGGTGGGAATTGAAGCAAGATAGTATCTACTAGAAGTTTAATTTAAATATCTTCTTTTTCTTCCTATAATATTTCAATTGTCTTCATTGCTTTATCCTGATCAGTCTCTTATAATGCTCCCTTTTTTCTTCAAAAAACATTTCTTCAAGATTTTGCCCTTCCAATTTCAGTACAGTTTTTTGACTGGGAAATATTTAATCATAATTTGAAAAATCATCTAGAAATGCAATCTTCTTTCAAATAAGAAACTTTTACAGAAATGCTAAAGTGTGTACGCCTAGCTATTTGCAGAACTTTAAATAGCTATACCTTTAAAAGCCATTTATCCTGAGTTCTAAGTACTTTCCAGATTCCTTTAGTTCCTTATTTTAAATATAATTAAATTCATTTATATAATCAGACTAAATAATTATAAAAACTTTCACATATATGAATGTTTTTATCCCAGTTCTTTTGTCTGTTGGTGCCTAACTTTGCCTAAATTTGCATGGATGATGTCCATTTATATGTAGTATTTATATATACCTGAGTGTGTATCTGGGAAAAAGTTATACACTGCTGTCAATTGTGCAGAGAATGAAGTGTTCTGAAGCTAAACATTGGTATTTTTTATCTCTATTTATACTCTCTCATTGCAGCCCTGTTGCTAAGAATTACCAACATATCCTAGCTATGGCATTTGCTATAAAGGAGATAAATGAAAACCCACAAATCTTACCCAATCTCACCTTGGGCTTCTATATTTATGACAGCTATGACAATGCTCAAAGGACATATCAGGCTACAATGCTGTTTCTCTCATCAGTGGAGAGACTGATTCCCAATTACAGCTGCAACATCCATAATAATTTACTATCTGTTGTTGGAGGATTGGATGCTGAAATTTCTCTTCATGTCTCTACCATCTTGGATATCTATAAAGTTCCACAGGTATTTTTTATTATGTACATGAATTTTAACATACATAAATCCTGTTAGGTAGTTTTAATTGCTACAGAACAAAATATTGTTGAATAATTTCTTAACATCGCTTTCAAGACAGTGTCACCTCTAATGTCTCATTCACACATAGCTCACCTTTTGCATGCTTTATTGTTAAGATTTGATCCTTCTTAAAATGAACACTTACATTCTATTTCTACAACATTATAAAAAATAGATGACCATGTGCTTTTGACATATTATGTTAATAAATAGTCTAATTTACATCCTTACATGACATTTTGGTTCCACACTACACTTTATATTTCTGGAGCGCAAGGTAAGCAGAAAGGAGAAAGTGACAGAAAGGAAATAGTGGTTTTGGGGGGAACAAAATGCAGGAAATTGGGAATCAACGGGAACAGATCTGTAATACTCAGAACAGGAAGGCTGAAAGGAACATTCAACAAGTCAGACAAAGCAGGTAAAACTTAAAATGAGGTAGCAACAAAATATTGCTGGTTTTAATTTGGGTAAAAGCCAAATAGAAAATGAAAGCAGAATGCATCATTCCTTGCCTGTCAGGGAATATCTACAAATTTTACCAAAATAAGGAAGAAGGATCCATGTTCTTTCATGGATCATGAGCTCAAAAATATACTGAATCTCTCTAAATCATTTTTAATTCCAAAAACATTTCAGAATTTCCTAATGCAATTTAACATCATTGTGATGTTTGAAAGGATGTTTCAATGAAATCTAAATTGAAGCACCACCATAGGATTTATGATAAAATAATTCATACATTAAATACAGCAGGAACTGAAATAGGATTTCAACTAAGGTTGAAGGTTGCTTTATGTAAGCACTGGTAGGGTTCTTAAAATATTTTATCTACATTGTAAGGGTTCTATGCATGCTGTTGTTGTTTTTTCCTCACTTCTCTCTAGCTTATTTATGGCTCAGCTCCATTGATGAATGAACAATCTGCAGAATTCACTTTTTACCAGATGGTTCCCCCAGATCCACTTCAATATACAGGAATTGTCTCACTGCTCCTACATTTTAGGTGGACATGGATTGGGATCCTGACCATGGATGATGACCAAAGTGAAAAATTTCTACAAACTATGATTCCTGTTTTTTCCAAAAGAGAGATTTGCTACTCTTTCATTGAAAAAATTGCCAAATTTAGTGATATAGATGGACTTTATGGTATGCTTCAGAAAGGAGTAAAAATCTATAATCAAGTCATGGGTAGTAACACCAATGCATTTGTGATCTATGGGGAATCCTTCACCATGATATTTTTGAGATGGTTGCAATATATACCAAGTATAGAAAATATAAGAATTAAAGCAAAAGGTATTGTGTGGATAATGACAGCCCAGGTAGAGCTGACTGCCTCAGCATTTCAACGTTCCTGGAGTACAGAAATAATCCATGGTGCCCTTTCTTTCTCAATGCCCTCTGCTTATCTATCAGAGTTTCGGTCATTTGTTGCAAAACAAAACCCTATCTTAAGTAGAAAGAAAAATGGATTTATCAGTCAATTTTGGCAAGATGCCTTCAACTGTGTATTCTCATATGAGGTTGTGAGTGATGTGCCTGAAGACATTTGTACTGGGACAGAGGATCTGAAGAGCCTTCCTGCCCCTATTTTTGAAATAGACATGACTGGCCATAGCTATAGTATCTACAACAGTATTTATGCAATAGCTCATGCTTTCCATGCCATATCCACATCTAGATATAAACACAGAGCAATGGGGGTCAGAAGAGGAGGAAAAAATCATAAACAAGATATCCTACAGGTAATACAGGTATTACAGGTAATCAATATCCTCATTTGCCAGAGCACCATGCATCTAAGTATGTTGGTAAGCCTGCATCTGCATTTCATCTGCTTTCCCATCTCCTGAATATGAAATAAAAGCTCATAGCTTTATCAGAATATTTCCTCTCCATCTGAATGTTTTACTTTAAATTCTATTAAGTTCCTCGGTATGAAGTTTGGGCACTTAAAGTTATATATAAAGTTATATATTTGTGAGCATAATAATGGAAAATCCTCTTGTTTTCCTTCTGAATCTCTCATGGAACTGTGTTTGTCTGTTATGCCTGTTTTGTATCTGTCTGTTTGTCTCTCTGACTCTGTGTGTGTGAGAGAAAGAAACAGAGAAATATGATAGCAGTGCTCCAATATTTGAAGGTCTCCTAAAAAGATGAGGGGGTCAAACTAGTTTCAAAAGCACCAATAGGCAAGTTGAGAATCAATGGATGGAAGCTAACCAAGGAGAGAAGCAATCTAGAACTGAAGAGAAATAAAGGAGAACAACCAACCAGTGGAACAACTTGCCTTCAGAAGTTGTAGGTGCTCCATCACTGGAGGCTTTAAAAAAGAGCCTGGAAAATCATTTATCTGAAATAGTATAGGATCTTTGGCTTGCATAGAAGACTGGCAAGGTCCCTTCCAACTCTATTGCCTCTATGTGTATGCAAGATTCAATTACAATAAATTACAGTAAAAGATATGAACAAAGAATGAAGTTGTATATCTTTTTTTTCTGCTATGAAAATTACCATCATGGGAATGAGTAATTTAATCTGCCAAAAACTCTTGCATTTTTATTTATATGGTTTAATTATTTATTTATTTGCTCAGCTTCATTACTTTCTAAGAAGAGTCTCTTTTAACAATAGTGCTGGGGACCAGATCTCCTTTGACCAAAATGGCATAATAAGAGCTGGGTTTGATATTATCAACTGGATTGCTTTCCCAAACAAATCATTTCATCGTGTAAAAGTTGGGAAGATGGATCACCTAGCTCCTCCAGATCAAGGTTTAACTATCAATGATGACCTCATTACATGGCACAATTTGTTCAACCAGGTAAGCTCCAGTTATAACACCTGGTTCTCAATTCTGACTTTTATTCTGGAATCAACTGAAGTGATTCACTTAACAACTGTAGCAACAGTTATTTCTGCCTTATTCAGAAATAGAAATTTTGTTCTCAGCTGTAATTGTAAGTAAAGGTTGAGCCTGTATGCAACATTGGTCAAACCAGAGTTTTTGCTTGGTACAAGTAGAGTTAGTTATGACATGCTGATAAACTGATAGAGAACTAGTAAAATTTATATAGTGAAATTTATATATCTAAATTCTTTCCAGGATGTGGATTCTAAAGGAGATCATATAGATCAAGTGATTGCCTATATAAGAAATAATTCTGTCTAAATAAGAAATAATTGTGTCACTTTTGTGGCCTTTACTGATCATAGAAATCTAAGAATTTTAATACCTATGTCATTATTCCTAACCCAAATCATACTGGCCAAGGAAGTTGAGTGTGGATTAGAACCTCAATAAAGAATTAGCAGCAAGTGGCCACTCTTAGTCATAGTCCAATTTTAAATGAAATTACCAGATTAAAAAGATTGAAGAGGTTAGGACATAATAAATAATACTAGATGCATGTGGCTTGAATTAAATGAACTCGCTGTAAAAGACACCATATTAGCATATTATTACATGAACCCTAAATACTCTAGTGAGATATAACAGTTACTATATTTCAGCATTAATACCCAAATCTTCATAATAGCACAGTTGACTTCAGGAGAGACCATTGGGGGAATATTAAAATAAGAGGACATCCATTAGTATCACTTACAACATTTAAGATGTCTGGCAGTATATGATAAAGTGTTTGGATGCTCTTAGCTAAATTGAGGCAGGTAATTCTCTTATTTATTTTATCCAACTTTCTTAAAGTAAGCACCTGCAAGATGGTAGCCTCTTCTATGTTATTTACAATAGCAATATTTTTGTTTCTACCTTTTGGAGTACAATATTTTATGGCCTCCTAAACGTTCTGCAAGTTACTGTTTAAGAAATGGAAGTTAACTCTTTTGTTGCAAGACAATAATTTTGTTAAAGAGCTATTTTACTATATTTTATTGCCTTTTCTGCTTCAAACAAATTAATGGGGGGAGGGGGTTTCAAAGTTTATTAATGTGTGAATATAAGCAAAAGTGTTATGGACCAGAAAGAGATTAATGTGTGCATTAAATTGACAAAAATGAATGCCTTCTAGTGTTATCTTCTTTCATTTCTAGGTGCAGCCTATTTCTATCTGTACTGAGAGCTGTTATCCAGGTTTCAATAAGAAAGTCAAGGAAGGGAAGCCATTTTGCTGCTATGATTGCATTCCATGCCCAGATGGGAGCATTTCAACTGAGAATGGTAAAAAAATCTAGATCTAGATCTAGATTACCTGAAACAAATTTGCCTAAAATTGAAGTACATGTAGTCTTCAACTTATGATCACAACTTAAAAGTGCTCAATTTATGAGCCCGAAATTTCCATTGCTAAGCAAGACAGTTGTTAAATGAACTTTGCCCAATTTTATGACATTTCTTGCCACAATTGTTAAACAAATCGCTGCAGTTAAGTCAGTAACAAGATGGTTAAGTGAATCTGGCTTTACTTGTCAGAAGCTTAGAAAAGCTGATCACATGATCTCAGAATATTGTAACTGTCATGAATGCATGTCAGTTGCTGAGCATTTGAATTTTGATCATGTAACCACAGGTATGCCGCAATAATTGTGAATGTGAAAAATGGTCATAAATCAGTTTTTTCAATGCAGTTGTAATTTTGAATGGTCACTAAACAAATATTTGTAAGTCAAGGACTACCTGTATATTATGTTTTGAGTTACTCCAGATAGTAAGAAGCTGTGATACATTGATAAGGCATTTCTCAAAGTGTTCAATAGAAGTTCAAACATAATTTGCTCATGAATTATCAGTAGCTATTTTCTGCTTTAGAGAATCAATCTGTCTTTTTTAAAATTAACATCTGTCATTGAGGAATTTATGAAATATTCTTGCATATATGCTCCTCTCTGTAAACACTATTTAGATCATTTTTTGTTGTCTTTCTTCTTGACAGTTAACTGTTTGCATTCTAAAGTCCCAGAGTTTGGTGTCTTTATTTTCTAATACTTCGTCTATATTGTTGTTCCCACCAGTTCTTGTTTGCAAGCAAAAGATATTTCTTGAAAATATTCCTTTGAAGGTGTTGTTGATATTTTCATGTGTTTTTTCAAATCATTATTTTTTATCATGATAGAAATATTATCTACACACTGGATCCATATTTTGGGTTGTTTGCATGGGAATTTCTAGGCATTGCATTATGATCTCTGCTAGGAGTCTTGAGAATGGTGATCTCGTGTGTGATCCTACAATTTGTTGGTATATATTTCCATCCAACTGAAAGCAGGTGGTGAGGCAAAGGTTGATAAAATCCATGATACAGGGGATTTACATCTTAGTGCATTTGGTATATTTGGACACATGAAACTATCAACATCTTCAAAGGATATTGTCATCAGCAGAGGGAGTATCAAATCAGATAACAGATAATCAGAGTTGGAAGGAACCTTGTAGGTCATCTAGTCCAACCACCCGCCCAAGCGGGAGACCCTACACCATTTCTGACAAATGGCAGTCCAATCTCTTCTTGAAAGTCTCAAGTGATGGCGCTCCCACAACTTCCGAGGGCAAGCTGTTCCATTGGTTGATTGTTCTCACTGTCAGAAAGTTTCTCCTTATTTTCAGGTTCAATCTCTCCTTATTCAGTTTCCATCCATTATTCCTTGTCTGGTCTTTGGGTGCTTTAGAAAATAGCTTGACTCCTTCCTCCCTGTGGCAGATCCTCAAATATTGGAAGACTGCTATCATGGTCCTTCTCTTTACTAGACTAGCCAAGCCCAGTTCCTGCAACTCTTCATTGTATGTTTTAGCCTCCAGTCCTAATCATCCTGGTTGCTCTTCTCTGTACTTTTTCTAGAGTCTCAACATCTTTTTTATAATGTGGTGACCAAAACTGGATGCAGTACTCTAAGTGTGGTCTTACTAAGGTTTTTTAGAGTGGTATTAGTACTTCCCTTGATCTTAATTGTATCCCTCTGTTAATATAACTTAGGATTGCATTAGCTTTTTTGGCAGCTGCTGCACACTGCTGGCTCATATTTAACTGGTTGTCCACTAAGACTCCAAGATCCCTCTCACAGTTACTGCTATTGAGCCTGGTTTCACCCAGTTTATATGTGTACTTTTGATTTTTCTTGCCTAAGTGTAGGACTTTACTTTTCTCTACATTGAATTTCATTTTGTTAGATATGGCCCAGTGTTCTAGTCTGTCAAGATCCATCTGGATCTTGAGCCTATCTTCTTGGGTGTTAGCTATTCCTGCCAGCTTAGTATCATCTGCAAATTTGGTAAGTTCCCCTTCTATTCCCTCATCTAAGTTGTTCATGAAGATATTGAAGAGTACTGGGCCTAAAACGGAACCTTGTGGCACCCCACTGCTAACTTCCCTCCATGTAGACCCATAAGACCCATGTAGACCCATTAAGGACTACTTGTTGAGTACGGTTTGCCAGCCAGTTGCGAGTTCATCTAGTGGTGGTGCTATCTATTCCACTTTTTTCTAGCTTACTAAGAAGTAGGTTGTGGTCTACTTTGTTGAATGCCTTGCTGAAATCTAAATATATTATATCGACAGTATTTTGCTGGTCTACTAATTTAGTCACTGTGTTGAAGAATGAAATAAGATTGGTTTGGCATGATCTGTTCTTAAGAAACCAGTGCTGACTGCTAGTTATTACTTTACTTGTTTTTAGATGTTGGCAGATCTGTTTTTTTATTAACTTTTCCAGGTATTGGTGTTAGGCTGATTGGTCTAGACTCTATAGTTTCCTGAGTGTGGGGTTTTTTTTTTTTTTTTTTTTTTGAAGATGGGAACCACATCAGCTCTTTTCCAGTCCTCTCGGTACTCCACGATTTTTGAAAGATATGGTGCAGTGGTTCTGATATGACCTCTGCCAGCTCCTTTAAAACTCTGGGATGTAATCCATCAGGCCCCGGTGATTTGTGTTCATCAAGATCAGACAGGTGTTCTCTTACTATTTTTTTGCTTATTTTAACTTTTATTTCTGGTCTGTCTTTTACAGTTACCTTTTTGGTGGGTTGAGCTATAGTTTCTTTTTGCGTGAAGACAGATGCAAAGAATGAGTTAAGCAGTTCTGCTTTCTCTCTGTTGCCTGTTACTTCCTTGCCATCTTCTCTCTTTAGTGGACCAACTGTTTCCTTGATTTTTTTCTTGTTATTTATTTGTTGGAAGAAACTTTTTTAATTATCTTTGGCTTTTGTTGCAAGTCTTTGTTCATGTTGAGCCTTTGCTATCCTGACTTCGTCTTTGCAGATTCTGGCTATCTGCTGATATTCTGCCTTAGTTGTATGTCCTTCTTTCCATTTTTGGTACTTGTCCTTTTTTTCTTTCAATTTGCCAGAGAGATCTTTGTGCAGCCAAGCTGGTTTCTTCTTGGATTTCTTGTTTTTCTTTCTCAGTGGTATTGTGCTGGTCTGGGCTTCTATGATCATACTTTTTAGAGTTTCCCAAGGTTCTTGAGTTGTTTTCTCCTTTAGGATTTTCATCCATGGAATCTTTCCCAAGTTCTCTGAGTTTATTGAAATCAGCTCTTTTAAAATCCAAGACTCTGGTGTCATTACGTTCTATTGCTTGTGTTTGTGTTATGTTGAATTCTAGTATGACATGGTCACTCTCACCCAAGGTTCCTGCAGTTTCAACTCCCTCTATCACTTCTTCTCTGTTTGTAAGAATTAAGTCCAGTATGGCTGTCCCTCTAGTTTCACCCTCTACCTTTTGGACAACAAAGTTGTCAGCTAGGTTGGTTAGGAACTTATTTGATTGCTCACTTGGTGTAGAATTAGTTTTCCAATTGATATCAGGATAATTGAAGTCTCCCGTTATTATTGTTGTGTGTTTCCTGCATATGTTTGTTAGTTGGCTGGCAAAAAGGACATCTATATTTTCTGCTTGATTGGGTGGCCTATAATATACACCTATGGCCATGTCATTCTTTTTTTCTTTTATATTGACCCATATGCATTCTAGGAGGTTTTCATCTTTAGTTTCATGCATTTCTGTAGCAATATAGTGGTCCCTTACATACAGTGCAACTCCACCTCCACTTATCTGGGTTTTTTGAATAGTTTGTATCCTACCAGTATGTTCCAATCATGGGTTTCATCCCACCAAGTTTGTGTTATTCCAAATATATCATATTTACCTTCATGTATTCATAGTTCGAGTTCACCCTGTTTGTTCCCCAGTCTTTGCACAATTGTATATAGGCACTTGAGATCTTTATGTCTGACACTGTGTTTACTGTCTACATAACCTGTGTTGTGCCTGCCTGCCCCTACTTTCTTGCCACCTGTTTGATTAGTGCACATGGTATGGCACTCACTATTAAATGCTTGGTTTTGGTTGGCATCAAGGTTGATAATCTTACCTGCACAAACATCTATTTTGCATGCACTGGTATCCTTATTAGTTTTAGGTTGCTGGGAACAGAAATGTTCTGAATCCATTAATTCTCTGTCCCCACTGTTCAGTTTAAATGTTTATCCAGGAAAGCTGTGAATTTAATGCCAAGTAACTCAGTTCCTTTCTTTGATGGATGCCAACTATCTCTTTTGTACAGTTTTTCATTGGACCAGCTGCAGACATCATGACTAATAAAACCAAAGTCTTCCCCTTTACACCACTCCTTTAGCCACACATTAAACTCTGCTACATGCTGGCCTTTCCCTTTCTGTTCCTTGTATACTGGTAGAACCTCTGAAAAGATAAGCCTACAGCTCCAGATTACTAAGTTCATACCCCAAGCTCTGGAAGTCTTTCTGAACAGAAAGTATATCCTTCTGGGACAGATCATTTGTACCAAGATGGATAATAGCATCAACATCACAGTCCTTGCTGGCATTATGACTATCTTAAGAATACGCTTCTTGTCTCTGCTGGAAGTCGCACCTGGTAGACACCCGACCTCTTTCAAAACCTCAGTATCCTTTCCTAAATTTACATCCCTTACAATTGAGTCCCCAACCAGAAGGTGGCTTCTCTTTTTGGATGCCTTGCTCTTCTTGTGTGACTGGTGCGTAATACCTGATTCACACTTTCTCCTTTCCAAAGTAAGTTCTTCTTCTAGGACCATGATCTCTGGTTTACTTGAGTTATCATTATCACAACTACCTTGACCTGTCACTTTAGTGTCCCTATTAAGGTCAGCAAGGGCACTGTATCTGTTATGCTGGGACACAGCAAAAGTTTTGTGTATATGGTCCACAGCTTTCACCCTGCCAGATCCCACGGTTGTCCTGCCCTTTTCCTGTAGGATCTTTGTGGTAGTGGGGGCTGGTAGCACGGCAGCTGAATAGATGGCTGGATTGGGAACCAAATTTCTGCTTGGAGAGCATAGATTAGAGATTCTAGATAGGTAATCTGTCCATGTAGACTGGTAACTTTTTTACAAAGAGGTCAGTATCCAAGTTTGAAAAGAGTCCTGCGAAAGACACTGTAAAACAAGTATTGCTCTAAACTAAGCCGGTCATTTTGAAATAAAATAAAATCACAATCTCAAGTGTGCTTACCCTAAATGTCTTATTGGTATTCTTGGTTTATACAGTAGTTATATTATTCGTGACCGCTATCTTTCTCCTTTCTACTCACCCTCTGCTTCCTTCACAAGCAGCCAGCAGCTCCTTCCACAATCTCTGGGAATTTGAAATGCAATGGAAGCAATTCCAACTGCCTCTCTCCTTTTTACTCACCCTCTGCTTCCTTCACAAGCAGCCAGCAACTTCTTCCACAATCTCTGGGAATTTGAAATGCAATCAGAAACACAAGTCTATCATAAAACCTGCTACACTAATCAAATGCTCCACAACTAAAATCACAACCCAAAACTACCACAAGACAACCTGTGTAAGAACTATTTAGATGAACCCAAATACATTGTAGCAACCCTAAACATCATAAAAAAAACAGATCATTTCTACATCTTTCAATAAGATGTAGACTCATGCAACTTTATCAAAAGCTGCCTGACCATTTAACACACTACAGCACAATGAATACAATCTGTGAAAAAGGTAAGACTACCATACATGAAAACATTTCAGAAACAACCGATAGATGATTACAACCACATGGCATCATAGTAGTACACAAACAAACTAAAGCCCTCCAAAACATTTTTAGTAAACCAAAAGAACCAATAGACTAAGAAAAGAATACAGGAGGTATATACATACAATCCTGACATCGTATCTCCATACAGTATAAGGTTTGTAAGACAATCCTATATAGGACAAACAGGCAGAAGACTAGCAGAGCATATCCATGGAGACCAACTAGAAATCAGAAGACATGATGAAAACTTCTTAATTGCATGAGACATGTACAGACTTCACTGTAGTTTTAACTAGGAAACCATGAACATCCTAGAACAAGCCAAGTCCAAAAATGATAGAGAATTCCTGGACATACCTGAAAACTGACATTCAAATAAATCAGCCATTAACAGGCACATAGAGATACGCAACATCTGTTGTGTATTTCCATTCAAATTCCATTTCAAAAGGAATAATCAAAAAGCTAAAAGACCATACCATCTCTGTGCTATCAATCAACATCCAGAAGAGATTAACCCAATATTAATATTATACAAACAATTAATCAGGAAGCAATATCCCAAGCCAGGAACTACCAACTCTGACAATCAAACAGTAATCAATAGCATTGTAATATTGTTGCTGTTACCTAGTTTGATAATAAAATGCCTACAATAAAACAACCAAATTTAGAGAATACCAAGAACCCCATGGTTCAACCCTGAGCTACAAATATTCTTTTCTGACAGGGTCATTATTTTTCTGGACTCGCTATCCAGGGCTTCTAGTTCATATTTAATTTAGTCTATATATCCAGCTGTGTATTTAATATCTGAAATTGCTGAGGTGTTAATTGCCTTGATGATTTCTCTTTCATTGAATTTGAACACTGTTTCACTTTTCTGGTGTTGTAATGTGCCTGTGCTTCTACTCTTAATGTAGACAGATTCTTCATTTTAAATAAAATTCAAAAGATAAAAAGATAGTTCTTCCGGTTTGCAGGGCTTAAGAGGCAGGCAAGAATCTGCGATCATGCACGGTTTGTGCCTGGGCTTGCTGCTGGAGCACCCCAAGCCAGCTGGCTTCAGGACTAAGCCACCCCATAGAGGTGGTGAAGACGGGGGAGACCCAGCAGGGTTGAGGGAAGCTGCACCTCTCCTCCTCAGCTGGCTAAACTCCCTTTCCCGAAGGCGGTAAGAGCAGTAAGTGGTCAGAAATGGCCACCTCAAAGAAGCACTCAGCCAGAAAAGAAAGTGCAGGAGGAAGTTAAGAAGTGAAAGTTTTTGGCTGACCGGGACAAAAAGTAACATCTAAAGTACCCTGGAATTTAAATTTTACAAAAGATACATCGCTCCCAAAGAAGAGTCGGAAGCAGCAAACGAAAGTGAAAAGGGAAAGTTTTTTTTCCTTCACTCTACTTCCTCACGCTGACAACGAGAAGATCTGAATAAAGAAATCGGAAAAATCTGCTTTGGCACCAACAGGTAATTAAACTAGAAATATAATTAAATGCCAAAGGGACAATAAAGATTTCTGAACACTAAAAAATGGGAAGGGACAGGAAAAGAATAAGGGCAGGACTTGGAAGGAGGAGACTGCTTGGAATTCAAAAGAATTTAAAGTTAAATATTAACAAGGCTTCTAAAGGATACATTTTAACTGAAACTTTGCAACTAAATAGTAACCCCAAGAAGAGAAAGTGAAAAAAGAAGAAAGTGTTAAAAGAAACAGCTTGTGTGTAATTGGATTGTTTGGTGACTTTGGGACTTTTGGAAACCATATTTGAATGACTAAAAACAATTGGGTGCTTGTTTTTTTTAAAAAAACTCTACAATGGCATCACCTCTGGATGAACCGAATGAACTGGATGAACTGAAAATCGAATTTAAAAAATATAAAGAAGAGGAACAAGAAGGGAAGGGCTCCTTTGGTTCCATTTTTCAAATCTTAGAAATGGTGATTGGTGTCTACAAGAAACAACAAGAAAAGACTGCGCAACAAGAAGATTGGGACAAAGAAGAAGTCATTTTTAATGAACAAGTAATTCTATCTGGGAAAGAAAAAGGAAAGGGGGGAAAGAGAATAGAGAATCTAAGACCTAAAAAAACAGCCAAAAAAAGGGAAGAAAAATGTGAAAAGGGATATAATGTTGGAAAGCAACAGAAAAGAGGAATACAGAAGAGGGAAATGGAGGTGGAGAGACAGTGGGGTAAAAAGGGGAGAGAGAAGAAAGGAAGGAAGGAAGGAAGGAAGGGAAGAGAAGTTACAAAGGTCTGGAGCAAGATGTAAAGAAACAGGATTTATTCAGAGATAATGGGTGAAAATTTAACTGAAAAAGGGATTCTGTAAAGGTACATAAAATTGTATTGTTATATTTGTAATAGAAATAATGTTAGAAAACTGGCAACAACATATGATTAAAAAGTGGAATAAAATAGTGTAATTTAGTGAAACTTTTGTGAATAAAATAAATGAAATGAATTAAATGAGAGAATTGAACTAGGAAGGAATGGGAACATTTTAACTACTCAACGTCTTATAAAATATAAGTGAAGTGGAGGGAAGTAATTACGGAAAGTTTATAAGTGTTTCCATAGAAGTATGATACTTATTTGAAAAGTAATGTGTAAAATGTTCAAGATTTAAATGAATATTAATATTAATGATAGAATTGAATTGGTATGGATTGTTGTTTTAATTATGTTATATATTTATAATTTTTTTCTTTTTTTAAAATACATTGTGTAGTTTTAGAATGTACCAAGCAGAATCTGAATGGAAGTTGTGTATTATATTAAGTGTTATAATTTTAGAGGAAAGATATAAAGGCGTCATACTCTAATCAGTGATCACAGGAGAAATTTTGCTTAATGAGAAAAGATAATAGACAGCTGAAACAGGACAGACAAAGAATATAAGTATGATGATTTGAATTGAGATGAAATAAATAAAATAAAATTTAAAAAGTTGAAAGAGGGGAGAAGTTATATAGAAAATGTAGAATGGTAATAAGATATGGAATGGAATATAAAAATGAGCATGAATTTGAATTTGTGTCTGCACGAAGAGATGTAACCCAGGATCAGGCTGCTTTCAAAAAAGATGTTTTATGTTTTTATGTTCTATGTTTTATTTGTTTATGTTTGTTTTTAAAAATCAATAAAAAAATTTAAAAAAAGATAGTTAAATTGTTCAAATTTTATCAAAAATCAGTGAGTTTGAAGACTTTCTAGAAACCTTATTTTTGTTTTAAAAGTTGGTTTATCACTATGATAGTATTCATATTCATGACATGCTTGCAAAATAAACATAAAATCTTTTCTTCCTTTTTTAGACAAAAATGAATGCTTTAAATGCAAAGATGACTATTATCCCAACACAAGAAAAGACTTCTGTGTTCCAAAAATTGTCAGTTTCTTGACTTACAAAGAACCTTTAGGGTTGAGTTTAGCCTGTCTTGCACATTCTTTTACCCTAGTCACAGTTCTGGTGCTAGGAATATTTGTAAAGAACCATAACACTCCCATTGTCATAGCCAACAACCGGGATCTGAGCTATATTCTCCTCATCTCCCTCCTGCTCTGCTTCCTTTCATTGCTACTATTCATTGGCCAGCCTGGAAAGGTGACCTGTCTTCTCCGACAAACAACTTTTGGAATGGTTTTCTCAGTGGCCATTTCTTCTATCTTGGCAAAAACCATCACAGTGATTATAGCATTTATGGCTACCAAACCAGGTTCCAGGATGAGGAAATGGGTGGGGAAGAAATTAACCAATTCCATTGTTGTTTCCTGCTCCCTGATCCAAGCAAGCATCTGTATTTTGTGGTTATCAATGGCTCCCCCTTTCCCAGATGTTGATATGGTCTCAGTGCCTGAAAAAATTGTACTACAATGTAATGAAGGCTCTGTGGTCATGTTTTATTGTGTCCTTGGCTATATGGGTTTCCTGGCTCTTATCAGCTTCACTACAGCTTTCCTTGCTAGGAAATTACCGGACAGTTTCAATGAAGCTAAGTTCATCACATTCAGCATGTTGGTCTTCTGCAGTGTTTGGTTGTCCTTTGTCCCAGCATATTTAAGCTCCAAGGGAAAATACACGGTGGCTGTTGAGATCTTTTCCATCTTAGCCTCCGGTGCTGGGCTTCTCAGTTGCATCTTTTTGCCAAAATGCTATGTCATTGTGTTGCGACCAGAATTGAATAACAGGGAACAATTAATTAGAAGAAAAGAATGATAAAAATCATTTGTTATATTTTTGATCAATCTTCTAGGAATAGAATTCTGTTTCTGTATTCATAGTAGAAGATTTTGGAAAATGAGTACTTTTAACTACTTCTCTCTATATATTTTGCCAACTCTATCCCTATTCATTCACTGAAATTTTGATTTCTGTGTCTAAATTATTAAACTTAAGTTGTGGACCAGTTCTCTAAAATGATCTAGGAATGGACCAAGATTAGAGAGAAAATTCTGATAGGTGTTCTAATATCTGTTAAATTGTAATGCATTTCCTGGTCCCTATTGTAGTATTAACATGGTCTCCTCCTTTTTGGTCTTATGTATTGTTCTGAAAACCCCCAATTAATATGCAATAAACTTAGATAATTAAAAAAAAGTATTGGTCTTAAATGTATTTTGTAGTTCTAACACTGTCTAACAGAAAGAAAAACAAAAGAGGCAGTCACTCCTGGTTGGTATTGGGATGGTTAACTCACCATCTACTGTATTGGCAACACCAGAAATGATGAATACAAAGTCCAAAAGAAACGAGAATTACTGGTAGGAAGTAATGGCAAGCAAGATGTGCAACAGAATTACAACTTATTTGTAATAACACAAATGCATTTTTCCTTGTGCATGAAAAAACTATTGTATGTTTGGCTAATGAAATATATCAGTAAAGTGTCCCCATAGACCCTAAGTTGTACTTAAACTTATCAACTTTAAGATCTCCACACTTTTGTTCTACTTTTCTACCAACTTAACTGCAGAAGATATAATGGCTAATGGTAGGTTAGAAAAAGCCCTTCAGGAGCCAACAGTTAAGGACAACAGCACACTGCAATCTTCAATTGAAAAATGTAGTACCTTAGTATAATAATCACTACCAAATTCTGAATTTCAAAAAAATCCAATAAATGACACATAAAATAACTCTCATAAATGTTCTAGTAGAAACTAACCAAGTAGAAATCCAAGTACGATTTCTATATTGCCAAAGTGATAAGATTTTGTTTCCACTTTTAGTGAATGGTTTGACTTTCTTTTCTTGTTCCTATTGTTTGATCGCTGCTTTAGTTCTGGGTACAATACAATACTCTTAGCATTTTATTTAATAACCAAAACCCTCCTTGAATTCTTGTTTTTCTTCCTCTCTGTTTCTTCTGAAAATTATGTCATCTGAAAGATTTCCTTTGCATCATCTTCTTTTCCTATTTATTTTGTGGCAAAAATTATCGTGGTGATCCTAGCATTCATAGCCATCAAACCAGGATCTATAGTGAGGCAGTAGATAATGGAAAAAATTGACAATTTATATTGTTCTTTCCTGTTTCCTCAAGTAATTCTACTGCATGTTTGTCCATTTTTCTTTCGATCCCAAATGTCAGTGCAATACTCTACCTTTTTCTGTCAGAAAACTATCTGACACTTTCAATGAAGGCAATATTTGGATACTTTGCAAAGCTAACTTATGCTTTGTTCTAACCTATTAGAAGAGCAAGTGGAAAATACATGATTGATATTTTGTCCATCTCAACGTCAAGGTCAGGGATAGTTGGCTGCTCTTCTACCTAAATTATGCATTATGATATAACATGAATAAAGAAGAATAGATTCATGTAAATAAATATTTATCCTTTATCAAAAATGCTCATATAAGAAAGTCTGTGTAGTAGCAGCACTTTCTCATATTTGCCTATGTCTTTTAATTATGCATGTTCAAATTTTGTTCATATTTAAAAGAGGAACTCTAAGGAAGATCACAGCTGATAGAACATTGGGATTTTAAAGAAATAGTTGTGGAAGAAAATGATAACCCACTCTCCTTAGATTGGACTGACCTCCAAGGTCCCTTCCAACTCTATAATTCTATGCTCTATGTTCCTATTATGGCCAAGAACAATATATTTCAGATTTATTTGTTTGGTTTTTACATTTAAATGATTCTCCTCTTGTTATACATATCTTCACAAGACAGCAAAGACAAAGCCAATCATAAGAAAACAAAACAATTTTAAAACAACCCAAAACAAGATCTGCTGGCACTTTGATGTAACCATACCTAAACACCTTCTCCAAATGAAGGGAAACACATCAAGACAAACTCCAAATCCCAACCATCTATCTACCAACTTTCATGATGTGGCCCTCAACCTTCTCAAATATGCTTATTTGTGGTCCTTCAACTGGCATAAAAATGCCATTTTGAATTAGGCCAAAATAGCCTTTCCTATCTGACTAGAAAAGATAATACTTGCTAAACTATAAGAAATACAGCTCCTCTAGCAATTCTTTAGGGAATCAAGCCAAGTTATAATATACTTACCTTCCTATTCGGGAGTCTAAATGACTACATTTAATTAACTTTTTTCAAATCCCTGTGGATTTCACTGCCCAATTACAAAACTAATTGTGAGATAATTGCTTCTTCACCTTTGAAATATATCGAGATATATATGTATATATATAAATAACAATATCATTTAGAGGAGGGAGAGGGTGGGAGTACAGTCAGGTAAGTTCAACTATATCTATAAAGATAGTCTAAGGTTCAGATGTGTCTAGCAGATGAGAGTCTTTCAAGTGAAGCAGTGTAAATCACAAGAATGTTAAAAGCTATGCCTTAGGAGAGAGGAAAAAACACAGGATTCTTGACTAATGCATTATCCTGAGAATGGCAATTTTATTGGTCCTACTACTAGCATTGCTTCCTCATATGGTGTGCAAGACTGACAGATGCAGCATCAGTAATCCACACTTGCCAAATCACAAGTACCATCAGCTAGGAGACCTTATGATTGGTGGCATTGTTTTTCAAGCTAGCATCTACACCGAGCCAATCACTTTCACTGAATTGCCCCCACCAGCATGGTCTGGCAACTTTGTGTAAGGAATTAAATCACTGCTTGCTAATATTGCTTGCTTTTGATCTCTAGAATAATCAAATATAGCACTGATTATACAGAATAATCCCTGTCTAACTTGAGCATCGTTATGGAGAGGCTTAGGAAAGCTGTCTTTCTGAATACAAAGAAAAAAGAAAAACAATAGGATAATATATATTCCAATATTGAAAGCAGCATTCCCCAAACTAAAGGCCACCCAAAGTGTCATTTCCAGAATTATCAACAAAGCCCATTCTGATTGGGAATGCTAGGAAATACAGTTTATGCAGCTTGAAAATTCCCAGATTGAGGACTAGTTTAAAGTTCTTTTACTCTTCTATGTTCCTCTTTCAATGCTTTCTCCTACCAATTCTCTCATCATGACAGTTTCTCTCATCTTCATGCTTTGGACTTTGTCTACTCACCTATGTCTTCTAGTTACAATTATCCATATAATTTTCCTCATTTCTAATTTAAAAAAAAATGAAATTGAAATTTCACTTATAGGATAAATAAATCCATTTATCAGATCCTGCATAACTCTTAATAAAATATTGTAAATGTTATTAATTCGATGTAACACTGTCTTTAAACTTGCCTTGGTGTGTAAAATTGACACAAATGTTCCTAAGATCCAGCCAGATAGGGACATTCCTTTATCAATCAGAGGACACCCCCCACTTAGATCATTGTAAGTTTTTATTATAATGACATGGGTATTTCCAGGAACTGAATTTATAGTAGCCCTTTTCTAATGGAATACACTCTTATGTATACGTTAACTTCTACCATTTCTTTCCTGCAACTCTCTGTTATTTGGTGAGTCGAAACCCAGAGCTGAAATTCATCACTTTAGTGCCTGTCTGGGAAAGGTTGAACTAGAATTTTTATTATTAATTAGAATTATTTTCTAAATATTGTTCTTCTTCACAGTTTTCCTTTTGGAAAATATTAGGTGATAATTTAGAATTTAATCCTCTTTCATAATAAAATCACTCACATATGAGTATCTATCCCTGAAAATGCCACTATTGTTGAATTTTGAATTCTTTTCGGACTTCTCTGTCTCTCTCTGTCTCATTTTTTCCTTCAGAAACTTCTTACAGTACTCTCAGTGTTGTCCAGTTTCTTCTGATTTAAAATATTTTGAAAAAATACTTTCTATATGACCACATTCATTGCTTATATTTTTGATATTTTTTTTAAAAAAGTTGATGTTTGTTCTCCTAACTGTGCCTTTTTTAATATTACAATACTGAAATATAAATATTTGGTAACCAAGTTTCATGAAGGTTCTCAGTGTTACATGCTTGAGTGCACATCTATGTGTGTTCACATATGTTGAACTATGCTGGATCAGGGTGTTAATTTTGAGTTGCCATATTTCAAAAAGACCTATTACCAGAAATGGGGAATTCTGTATCATGAATGTGAATAATTATTTTGTTTAGCAATACTCAACTTTTTAAAGTAAGTACATTTATTAGGCATAACTCCATATCTATCAATGTTAGTGACATGTTAGATTTTAAAAAAAGAATCTATATAGTATAGACATTTAAATAATGGATATCTGTATAACTGAAATGTGAATATAAATGCAAAAGTGAATTACAAATTCTCTACAAAATTATGTGCACTGGCCAACATTACAAACACATTGCAAAATGACAATTTTTGACAAATATATTTTAAATGTGCATTTTTACAAACATTCAAAGAATGTGTGTATGCGTTTTTTAAAAAAAATAAATAAAACAACTTAGTAATACGATAATGGGTGACCAAACCTTACACATGAAAATCTCAGAAAACCCCAAATTAATATTTGTCCTTTACTAATTTAGAGAGGCTCTGTCATTTCATACTGTACATATTTGGACTTCAGAGTCAAAATGCTACAAAGTTTACACTGATATGAAAGTCACTTCACTGCATCTTAACAGTATATGCCTGTGGCTACTAGTTTATGATATCAGACAAATAGTACAACTAGCCTGCTCAATTTTTTTTACCTCAATAATTCCTGTCTAGAAACCAGAAGTAGTTCAATATGGAATAGCACTCTCATATGGAGCACAAATCTCATTGTAGCTTAATTCCTAAGAACTACCAGCACATCCTGGCTTTAGAATTTGCTGTGAAGGAGATCAATGAAAACCCACAGATCTTACCTAATCTTACCTTGGGCTTCCACATCTATGACAGCTATGACAATGGTCAGAGAACCTATCATGCCACCATGCTTCTTCTATCATCTATGGAAAAGTTGATCCCCAACTACGTATGTAACATTCAGAACAGCGCAATAGCTGTTGTTGGGGGACTAGATGCCCATATCTCCCTTCATGTGGCCACTATCTTGGATATCTATAAGATTCCACAGGTAAGATACTTTTATCTCTATGCTAATTTAACGAAGTTTCCAGTTCCTTGATTATTCTGAATGTTGTATTGCACTCCAAAATATAGTTGAGTATTTCTGTATTTCCATCAGTCATAGTATCATAAGTAGTCCATTTGAATTGAAATCTTTCATATATTTATTTGCAGTTATGCACACTGAGTACATGGCATATCTACCTGTAAAGAGAACTAGAACTAGACTTTTAATTACTGCATGACATTAATTGCTTTTGTTGCATTTAATTTCTATACAACAACCCTGCTCTGTTTATTGTAAGTCAATGAACAGAATTATTTAATAAGAATTATTCTGATTCTGATTCCTACTCTTTCTGAATTTCAGGCTCAATGGCTATATTTTATGCACTGGATACAAACTAGGTAGCTATTTTCACAGAACTTGCCAGATTAAACTAAAACCAGATGGGTAGTTTCATAGTTCAATGTATAATGGGAAAGCCAAATGTCAGCTAAGCATACTGTGTTGGCCAAGTTATTACATTAAATAATAATATGGTTTATTTCTTTGGATAAAGCATGTTGCATGAGCACAGCAATTTTACCAAACTAACTATTGCTTAATTGTGTTAACTCAGTCTTTTACTTTCAATAAGATCCATAAGAAATTGAGGCAAGAGTAAACAAACTTCCAAATAAACCTACATATAGCGCTATTTTTACACATAACTTCAAGTGCTTCAGAAGGTAGTTGTTTAAATATATTAAACTTATATTTGTTCTGGACTATAGCAGAGAGAGACAGCTTGGTACATTGAAAGTAACATTTGAAGGAAGCAAAAGATGGGCAACTTGTCCTACTCAGGCTTGTAGATATCTCAATGGTGATTAGTACCACCAAGTAGAGTTTCTTTTTGGAATGCCTTTGAGAATGCAAGATAGACTGCATAATACTTTTATGATATCCTACCTCAAGGATGTGTTTCAGAAAACATTATTGGGAGATTTTGTTCTATTTCATATGATTAGATATAGAGGGCTGTAAGAATCAATCTTGCTCTCTATACTATTTATTAAGCCACTAGGTATGATCATCAGGTGCTATGGTGGAAGTATCTTAATGTAGGTTCCAGGATAACAAAATTGAAAGGGACCTTGCAGGGCTTCTAGTCCAACCCTCTGCTGAAGCAGGAAACTCTATACCATTTCAGACAAATAGTTTGTCCAATCTCTTCTGAAAAACCTCCACTGTTGGAGCACTCACAATTTCGAGAGGCAAGCCACTCCACTCATTAATTGTTCTGTCAGGAAATTACTCTTTAGTTCTAAGTTGGTTCTCTCCTTGATTAGTTTCCATCCATTGCTTCTTGTCCTGCCTTCAAGTGCTTTGGAGTTGACCCCCCTCTTCTTTGTGGTAGCCACTTAGATTTTGGAACATTGCTTTCATATTGCCCCCTGTCCTTCTAACCAGATCATCGGGAATATTAAATTCTATGTTTTGGTCCTATTTGGATTGGATTGTGGTCTGGATGTGGTAGAATAAATTGGAAATGAATCTAGACCAGTCTAATAGTATGCAGATTACAAGGTTATTCTCAATCAATAAATTCATCTGACCCAAATGAAAATATTTTTCCTCTATGAATCAAGTTTATAATTTAAGAAAAATCCTTAAAATCCCATACACAATATACTATAGGCATACACTGTATATATAAATAACATATGTACACAGTATGTCTTGTTTATATAATATTGATATTAAAGTAGGTTGTTTTATGTACTTTTTCATGATATTTACCTCTAAATTGATAAGCAGAGGTGCAAATTGAGATTCAGTTAAAAAAAAATTGGTGTAGACACAGCTACATTTGTTTTATTTTCAAGCAGAATGTGGAAAAATGACAAAGATACTAGATCTTTTATAAAACAATAAACCTGCAATTTTTAATCAAGCATCAATTATTACATGGCAAAATATTTTTGGAACTATTTACCCTTTTAAGACAGAAATAGTATAAATTAGGAAAGGACAGCATAGCAGAAAATATTTTCAGAAAGTGAATAAATAAGCATTTGAAAAAGTAAAATTTTATTAAAGATTGAACAATCTTCTAATCACTTCCTGGCATCAGTATAGAAAGGCTGTTCTGAAATAATTCTTTATCTGCTGCTTGTGTATCAACTAAAAAACAGTTTGGAAGCTCACCCCAATCACTGTTGCATATAGGCATCTGCTGAAGGTATAAAGCTGGCAAGTAATGAAATAGGGATCAAACATCACCACATAAGTTCCATCCTTCACATACATATGTGTATGTATGCTGTATTTTGATACAATTAAGAAATAGAAGCTCTTCTCCTGTAATGTCCTGAAACTAATTATTATTATTATTATTATTATTATTATTATTATTATTATTATTATTATTATT